GAGGTACAGTCAGTAAAGCTGAAGCACAGCCTGGCTTCTTGACCTGTTCTTTTCATCCAATTTGACTGATGCCAAACGAACAGCAGCCACCAAAGAGCTGATGGCCTCTTGAGCTGCCTGACCGAGGGGCAACAGGAAAGGAGCTCCCCCAAGGAGAACGGAGGAGCCCTTTAAAACAGATGGAGAAGCATCACAGAATACAGTCTCTGAACAAACATCATCTTTGGATCAACAGAAAAGCACAACTTGATTGTCAGGTTCTTCTCTGCGAAGAGATTGGGAAGTCCTCCTAGTGAGGATATCATAGTTAAGCAGATACCACTTTTGATCTTGGAGTCAGGTTCCCGGAGAGTTTAGGCTATGAAAATATGCAAATGTTTCCACTGAAATGCACGGTACATAATCAATCGTGCCCAGCAGGATCACGGACTAACAACACACCCTCTCATCAGAAGGCTGCCCAGAGCTACGTTCCTGGAGAGACCAGGCAAGAAAATCATATCGGGATGACAATGCAGCACTGCTGTTCCCTTCTAACCATGGTCAGAAAACAGGGCTGCAATTCATTGTGCTTTGGTTTTCTGTAGCTATTCTAGAAGGACCTAAAGAGGCAACAAGAAAGAATTCCTAGAGAAGCTTAATTTACTTAATTACTGCACATATTCTTCCATTATATTATAAACTAATTAGTAGATAAAGTCTAGGTACATGAATAAAAAATATTTTTGCAGTAGCTGAGCAACTTTTTTGTTACACATAGAAGAAACAGAAGATAGCAAAATCCACTATATTGTTGTCGTGGCAAATGTCACTGCTAAATAGAAGTGAACTGGAAGAGCATGGGAACTAGGTTTTATTGCACAACAGCTATTTTCATACTGTAGGAAGAGCTTAAACAGCTGAGGTTTAGCTTTGACTTGTCCTTTAAGAGCACAAACTTAATGCAGAAAAAGTTAGGCTCATATTTCTTTCTTTTATTTTTTTTCAGAGAAGACAGGGTACAGGAGGACTGGGGAAAAGGAGAATAATATGGCAAGAGGACAATACAAATGTCACAAAATTTTGAGGTCATCTAGCAAAAGGTCAACAAAAGCAAAACCATTCAAACACTTCCACACATCTGAGGTGTAGGAGTGATGTGCACCCAGTTCCTTCTTTAATTCTCTTAACCTTTTGGATGTTTCCAATTACTCCTTTCTGAGACACAAGAAAGGACATAACTTCTGACATTAATTCATAGAAGTTTTTAAAGATTTCCAGCTACAGCTGGTCAAAACACTTCCATCTAGAAGGACCTTGAATGCCACCACCATTTCCAGACATTTATTCTCACATTTTACTCAAAAAACAGGAAGCTTCATCCCTTGCTCTCCATCGCTCACCCTTCCATCCTCATCCTTGATCCACACTGGGTCTCTACATCGTGACTCACACCCGCCGTATCAGCAGCCCAGGCTTTTTCTCCTCTTTCTTGTTGACTTGCTTCAGGAGTAACTGTGTGTTATGGTAAGTAACTGATAGAAAATACCAATTAACAAAAAGGTTCTGTTAACTTCCACACTGCTGCCTACAGGAGGCATCATCTTTGAGTACATCTGACCCCTACATGTCCGGGGGTAGGGCTCAGATATAGCTGCCCAAAACACTGATAGTCCAGTGCTTACTTCTGCCCACAAAACAAGGCAATTAGTCCCTCAGTAACACCACTCTCTTTTTAGAAAATGACCTTTCACTACTCAGATCCTACGGATCTGGGCTGTGTTTGATCACTCATGTTTGAACTGCAGGTCAACCTAAAGCATATTCTCCTCTGTTGTACAGATAACATATCAATTCTCAGAGATAACTGCAGTTTATACTCAAGCGGTCAGACCCTTTCCTCCAAGACAGCAGTCCTTTATGCACCAAAACTACCACTAAATTTAAACTCTAAAGGGAAAGTAAGGAATTCAAATTTCCTTATTACATTAAATAATTCATCTACTCAAGCTGAACAGTGTCATTTAAACTCATCTGAGTTTCAGAAGCCAGAAAGCTATTTAACTCATGTAAATTTTTGACCAGATGAAGACATCTGAAAAGGCAAAGACTTAACACAGTTTACCTCTCATTTCATTTTTGCATTCCCAAGCATAAAAATCAGTAAGAAAAAGTCACGGTCTTCTCCTCTTTTAACGCAGTTCAGCACATAACATAGAAAGAAAGGTCTGCAGTATTTCTGCAGGATGTAATAGAACATGCAGACAATGCACTTAAAATTTGATTTAATTGCAATATTAAAATTCTCCTGCATGCAATAAAATATTTCTTTCAGGTCTGCTACATTTAGCCTGACGCTATTATTTTAAAGAGCTGCCCTATGAAACATCTTGAATATGCCAGGACTTTGATGGTTAAAACACCTCCCTTGTACACCAGACACCCCATTTCAGGTCCTTGCTCTGAATAACTAAACAACTAAAGAACCTGAACCCACGCCTTCCACACTCCAGCCAAGTACATAACTGTTGGGCTAATTATATCTAATTAATAACAGTTAGGCTCTTGCCTGGAGCGTGGAAGGCGTGGGCTCAGGTTCTTTCGTTGTTGTATTAATTAATGAGATCTACTCCTTCTTTCAAGATTTCATGAACAAACAAAATCCTGAAGTGTCCATGATTTCCGTTAGTTTCCCATTGTCCCACACGTCCACGTGAGATGGCTACCAGCCTGTCTCTGCTTTAATTTCAGTGCCCCTAAGTACCAATCACCCTAAACATCAAGGACTCAGTTTACATATTTTCATATTTCTAAAATTTCAGAGTCTATAAGCAATAACAAAAGCCCCGTGGGTGAATGCTCTAGAAGCAACAATTATTATGCCGGTGCTTTCTGAACTGTTAGCTATTTTGTATACAGTACCTCACAAAGATTTTCATTCTTATTAATTGAGATCCTTAAAAACAGGTAAGATGGAATGGGCTTTGTTTCATTTCGTGGTCAAAGTGAAGTATACTTATCCATGTTAACAGCTCTTTTGCAGACACTTTTTCAGAGCACTCACATGCCCTTCTTAATAAGGATTCTGCAGTTCAATAAACTTATATCTCAAAATCACTTACATATTGTCCTGGATGTAGTGAGATACTGCAAAATTTGATGTTACCCTTTACCTTGGCATCTGAAGTAAAGTGGGTAACCTTCTCAGTTCCACTAAGGTTTTAAAACAAAATAAATAGCAAGCTTCATTTCCATAGCAAATTAAACTCCCTTCTTCTCATATGCTTTTGTAAACATTATCTGTTTAATTCCTTTCATAACTGGATATGACAAATAATCTGTGAAGGCAATCAGCAAGTTGTAAAGGCAGATGGATGTTCTTGTAAGAGGAGAGAACAGTCAACAAGTCCTGCCAGGAGGAGAACAGAGAAGGAATTCATCTCTGGGAACATGCAACTCCAGAAGTGCAGTCCTAGACAGAAGACTGGAAGGGGTTTATAAAGAGGGAAGAGAACATCAAATGCCTGGACTCTCACTTCTCAGAGAGTATGACTTAAGAGATCAAACTGCGCTGAAGAGGAAGAGAGACTGGGCATTCCCCTCATTACAACAACAAATATGTAGTAAGATCACTAAGCAAATGTTTTAGTGTTCTTCTTGTCTGGAGTGGACAAACAGCCCAATAAATCACCTTAGATTAAAAGGGAAACCTCAACTTCTCATCAAAACTGTAGCAACAGTGGAGATATTTACCATACTATCAAATTTAGACTCTACCTTTACTTCATTTTCTAAGTCTGCTAATGCAGCAGGTCAACCTGCATGTCTGAAAACACACAACAATATAGTAAGATCATTTATCTGTTCACAACAACACACAGCAACAATGAACAATTTTTGAAGACACCTTTGCAAATGAACGTATTTCCTATCATCCCAGATATCTTGTGCTCACAACTGGTGTCACAATTAGTCTTAAGAAGGCATTAAGGATGTTTTTCATTCTCATTTCCACCTTGTTGGGGAAGCATGTCTGCCAAAATGCTCATGAGTTTTGCAGTTTTCACAAGTGTCATCTATGAGAGCCAGAAGAAAACAACGGTCATCCTGTTCTGGATGATGTGGCTGAACCTGCTGGTTTATATGTTGGGTTTTAGAAAAGCAAGCAAACCGCAAAACAACAAAACATCCAGTTTGACTACATATTTTCAAAGTGGCCCTACAAACTCAGAAGGCATTTCACTGAATATTATGTGCAAGTTAATTTATCAGGCAGCTTAAGAAAAAAACTGATGCAAACATGGAATTATAAACCACAAAACAAAAAACGCTTGTCATCTTGCAATGCAGAATATTCAATTTGTTGTTGGTTTTTCACCAGTGATACAAGTGAGTCTGTTTAGCATTACTGGATATGTTTCTTTTATACTAATGTTCAGCATTTCCTAGAGAAGTCATTCTCATTCTCTCTCAAAGCAGTGAAGTCCTTGCCCAAAGTTCAACATTCCAGACTGTGCTTTCAAACCCCTTTTCTTCAAATCACTAGCTTGTATGAAATTCTCAGTTTCTCCTTCTCTTACTATTATTCCACTTAAATGCCAGGAAGGAAAAAAAAAAAAACAAAAACAAAAAAACCTTTAATTTCTTGCTGTGACATATGTCAAATCTCAGATTAAGGAACAAGTATTTTTCTCAAAATAATTCCCTATAAATAGTTTATAATTAAAAGCGGAACCACCCAGATGTGAAAGATGAAGACACATGCATTCACAACAGATCCTCAAGGAATAACAAATTAAAAAGCAAAATTACCAAATCCCCATTTTGTATAAATTTGATTTCCCTGTTTTTCCTCATTACTTTTTATTAATTAATGTCATAGACCACATTATGACCCAGCTGTACACCTACACAGGGATGTGACCACTTACCAAGTTTGCCTTTAATATCCCATTTAAAAAGAAGAGGGTGGGGGGAGACGTTTACAACAAAACACAGCAAGAAACCCCAACTTTCCTTACCTTGCTGGAGGCACATCAATATTTGAAGAAACAACCTTGCGCTTCTGTTCCAGAAGACAAACAGAACGAGTGTTTTCTTTCTCATACTCATGAGCTCTGTTGGCTTTTTTGGTCTCTGCTGTTTTTAAATCTTCCTCCTTTGTGGTGAACAGGAGAAACTGTTGGTCTGGCAGTTTTTGACTGATGTCACTTTTTACATCCTCCTGCTGAAATGCAGGGAAGGTCATTTCACGCTTGATGCTGGCTGCCTGTAAAATTAAAAGCAATTATTAAATTTTAGTCTAATTCTCCTAAAATGTTGGGGGGGCTGGGGGGGGGGGGGACGACCCAATACCCACAGGCACTTACTTTTAATTAGTTCTTTGAATCAGAGAATACCATTTCTTTGCCCTTCATAAATTCTAAAACCGCCATTAATTTCTCAACAGTGTTGAGGTCTGTCCAGGAAAATAAGCAATTCTTGTCCATTTGATAAAGCAATCAGTTATGTCTTAATGTTAAATCAAAAAGGTATTTGAATTGGATTATGGGAAACCACAGTATATACAACATATATTTAATATACACACATCTGTGCTGCCTAACTATGCAAAAGAAATCCTAGCTGCCCTCCACCTAGAATTCCAGGAAAAAAGGTATTTATCCAGATAAAAGACAACTAAGAAATTAAAGGAGTTCCAACAACCAGTTACTGGGTTCTTTAACAGTTGGATTTGTAAAGAGGGTTTCTCGATGAGCATAAAAATAATCTGCTATGATCCAACTCAGGTGCCAGAAGGCAAAGGGGAGCCAGCAATGGAGGCAGGATGTCCCCAGGGAGCCTGGTCAGCTCCACCACCGTGGTGAGGAGCACAGAAAAACCTGTCAGGTGTCTCTTTGGCTGCTTGCGCTTCCCAGATCTACAGGCCTGCTGCTTCCCATATGCAAAGACTTCCCAAGCACATAGATATCTTAACAAATATGCTGCCTCTCTGGAATACGACATGTTGGCATTTATGAAGAGCACTACTGCAGGGTTGCAGCAAAGAGCACGGGAAGCCAGCAGAACCAAGACAGGATTTCCATTTCCACCTTCCCAGCAAGCAAAATCATGTCCAGGACCTCACTTTTCCTCTGTAACACCGTTCTCTGGCCAGCTAGATCTCCTCAGACTCACCGGGACAGACCTATCTCCCAGGCTGTCATGAGCCCCTCATCCTGCCGGACATTGGCCCAGCTCCTCCAGCACCTGCCTGCTGGCTTCCTCGTGTCCCTGTGAACTCAGAGCCTACCAGAAGCACTCGCTAACAGAGGTATTTCTGGATATCTGTGCTTTTAGTATCGGGAGCTTCAACTGCCAATTTGCCAGAAGTCCATGGGACACAGCAGGGCAGCAACCCCTCCACCCAACCCAAAGAGCCAAGAGAAACGCGGCCCAACAAAATGGCTGCCTGCCCCACCCTGACCAGAGGTAACTTCCACACCAATGCACCACCTCAGAGAAACCCACAAACGCCTTCTAGGACTCGCAAACTGGATTTTTCAGATACTTCTAAATTATTGCTGATCTTTACAGTGCAGAAATCCAGGATGTGTCACCCCTCAGACAGCGACAGCATCAATAAGCTGATATTCCAACGTAGTGTCTTCTCCCATACTTCTCCTCCTTTACAGCATCAAAAATATATTGATCAGTGTATATGTGTATATATTTATGCATAAATATATATAAAAATATATTTATCTCCCCGCAAATCTCCCCGTTTATAGCTTTCAAAGCTTGGCAGGTGTAAAAATGGTGTAAGCAATTTTAAGCCCACAGAAAAGACACTCTTGCCAAGGTAATTTTGTTTTGTTTGGTGAAGTATATAATAACACTGCTGACGCATAAATACTTAGGACTGATGATTTAATTGTCTCAGTCTAGTGTTTTCATGGAAGGGCTTTTAGCAATTGCTTCGAGAACAAAACTAGAATTGTTACTTTATGAATGTAAATAGTAAAAGGATTAGTCATTTTACACTTCTTCACACACAAACAGATGACATGTTACCAAGAAAATCTGCCTGGAAGACAAAACAGTCAGCATGTGATCACACAGAATTAGGAGAAGACATATAAACAACATAAGTTTAATTCTGATTCAATGATTATTTTTTAAAAAATGTTCAGATTTACAGTAAGCCCTTTTTTGAGTGCCTGAGGATCTTAACAGATGTTGAGTTGCTTTCAATTTTAATCAAAATTGACTTGGAATTTTTTTTTGTTTTTTGCTTCAATGCAAAAAGAAATGGAAACATTTAAGGTGAGGTTGGATGGGGCTCTGAGCAACCTTGTTGAGTTGAAGATGTTCCCTCTCCTTGCAGGGGGGTTGGAATAGATGCCTTTACTGGTCCCTTCCACCCCAAACCATTCTATGATTCTAAAAAACATAGCCTAAAACGTAAAGAGTAGAATATTTGTACTGTGATACCAGATAATCTATTCATATAGATATCAAAATTATTTTCATCCCATTCAAATATATTTAAATAACAGTTGGGTTTTCATACGTCGGTGTGCCATAATTAATAGCAGTCCCTGTGCAAGCGTAGGGAAGTGAGAAATCACAGAAGCCCAGACAGCAGTGCTCAGGCTGCAGTGCTGCAGCCAAGCAGTTCAGCTCCTTTGGCTAAATGGCCAGAAACAGCAGAAGACCAAACTGAACGCTTACACTAACTCTCTTCCTCTCCTTTAGTTTTCATCAGATGTTGGGAAACATGACCCTGTTTCTAAGCTTTCCCTGTAGAGCGACTGCAGATAAAGAATTTTTTCTACTTTAAAAGCAGGTGATCATGAGAAAAAGCCAATGGTTTCCCTCGGTGGCCACCCTCCGGTAGCTTTCTCCTGCTCCACAGGCAGTTTTTCTATTTTAATTCGTCCATGTCCATGGAAGCCACTTCCACTTGAGACACCTGTCCTGTCTGCAAGGGTACGGGATCTTTTGCTGGAAATCCAAACACCTACACAAGCAGCTGTTGATGTGGGGAGCTCCAAGGGTCACAGCCACTCGACCCATCAGGTTCCTCACTTTGTGGCAAACACATTGATTGACCACCAGGACCCCTCTGCTTTCAAGCTCTGCTTCACCATCACTCACAGTTTGGAGATAACATGGACAATTTCCAATATATCTTTCCAGATAAGTTAACTGTTCTGTCATTATCTTATCAGGAACTTTTTATTTTGTCAAAGATCCTTCATACACTTTTAACTGCTTTGAGGCTTGTGGTGGTCCTTGAAGTCCACAACATATTTCAGCAAAAATTTTGTGGAAGGTCTAGTCTAAGTAGACACAGCCTGTCTCTGAGGCAGACATATGTTAACACTGTAACATCAATTTATTTCAGCTTAATTCCAATACTTTGCTTTTCTCTCTCCTTAGTTGTTCTCAAACTCCATGACCATGTTCTTCCCTGATGATTTGCCTTTTACTGTCATCATACCTCCACATTTGTTACCTTATTGCCTCCAGAATCACCTGCTGATAAAAGCTAACAGTTTTTTCCATACACTTAATTAATCATCGCTCATACAAGCTATTTTATAATAGGCTGTTTTCTATGCAATTCATTGCATATTTTCACCCTTAAACTATTAACAACCTCCAGCTTACTTTCAACCAAGTCCTTTACAACCTGGCCTCAGGCAACCAACGTTGCTTAGAAGTTCAGACACTGAAAGAGGAGTTACAAGCCATCTATAAATTTTAAAAACAACTTTTGTTTCTGACTGCAGTTACCCTCACCTGCCTTTGACAACTTCCCTCCCACCGCCACTGGGCAAGGGAAACTTTTGATACCCCACCACTTGGAAATGAGAGCTCAGTATTACCTGGAGCTCGGCTCTGGCCTGCCCCCACACTTGGGGTCTGATCTGCCTTTACTCCTTTCACTGCTTCTCAGTGAGTCCCACTCACTCTCCTCTGAGGTTTTCCACACCTAATAGCACAACCATTTCTTCAAAGGCACAAGCTGGGTCACAGAGTGGTCCTCCCTTGCTCGTTTTGAAATATTCTTGCTCGTCAAGTGCAGCAGCATGGTGCTGTGGCAGCCCTACCCAGCAGACCAAAACAGATGCTGCTTCAACTAGGGGGTTTAGTATAAATCACAGAATGGTTTAGGTTGGAAGGGACCTTAAAGATTACCTAGTTCCATGGGCAGGGACACCTCCCATGAGATCAAGTTGCTCCAAGCCCCATCCAGCATGGCCTTGAACACTTCCAGGGATGGGGCAGCCACAACTTCTCTGGGCAACTTGTTGATCTTTGTTCAAAAACTGGAAGCTTTGGTTTCTAAGCAGAAACTTTATTTAATAAAAAAAAATGAAAGTCTTTTAGCTTTTGTTTTGAAGTTGTCAAGACAGTGGTATATATTTAGGTTGAGAGTTTTACTTTAAGTTCTTGCCTGATTCATCATTAGGTGACAAAGTTTGATACTCCATGTGACAGCTAAATGATTACCTCAGATAATATTTTCAGTAGTACATTAATCATTTTTTGTTGCAAAAGCCATCTTAACCTGCTTATAGAAACTCGTATTTGGTGGTGTCTTGTCATAACCAGTCCTGAACTCCACATGCCCCAGTCAAGACCATGAGTTGTAATGGAAGTCCTGCCCAAATTAAAGCATGCTTAACATAGACACAAATTTTGAGGAATTTAGATAATTATTTTGTTTACTTTACAGAGGACACATAGACTGCGATTTTTCAATATTTTAGGCCTTAACTTATCTGCAGTCAATTTTTGTTATGCCCCAAAGCACAGCCTGATAAGATGCTCATGTTGCAGTCAAACTTCCATCTTCTCTGATTTCAGTTAAATTCCAGCTAGGATTTTGCCCTGAACAGCAAAAAAAAATTATTGATCAGACAGCTCAAGTATTGAACCAAAGGATTAGCAAACACTAGAATAAGCAGACCTACTGTATTTATATGCAAATGCAGAGACCTACATTTGACAGACTATATATGTGAGCTGTTGAGTACAACCTTACTGGGCTTTAGCATCTTCCCTTGCTTCTGGAGCGTTGCTCCTTAAAAGCTGAAGCTAGTTAATTTTCAAGTAGTTTGCTAGCATTTAACAGGCATCAAGATGTCTGTGTTTCCTATACAATGGGAAGTTTCAAACTCCCGAGAATGTTAGCATCATTTACCTGTACGTGACCCAAATGTACAGAAATATGCCTTCGAATGTAAAAACTGACTCCCACCTATGTTCTTTCA